TGTATTATCAAGAATTGAAATACAAAAATAAAAATGAAATACTTTTAATTTTGTTAGTTTTGATAATAACTTTTTTTCTAAACGTTCACCATCAATAAATTCATTACAATATAAATTTAATGATAAGTATTCTAGATTAGGGCAACAATGAGATAATAGTAGTTCTAAATAATCATATTTAGCAGTAAAAATAGAGAAGAATACAAAATGTTTTAATTTTGATAATATCGAAGGAATGTTTTTATCATAATTAAATTGGACATCATTTTGTTGTTGTTGCTGCCGTCTTGGTCTAATCTGCGGTATATCAATATTTATATATTCGATTGAAGGTAAATTGTTTAATAGAACATATACATTATCTAGAGAATGCAATTTTATTGTCAAGTTTCTAATAGAAAAACATGGGTGAATGATATAAGTATTAATAGATAAGTAAACATTATCGAAAACTAATGTTTGTACTCGACAATCAGACTGAAACAGATTTGAACATAATTCATTTGATATAGTTGCATTATCTTCTTGTACATTAAAGTAAAGTTTTAAATTTAATAATTGTTTTAAATATGATAAATATTTTGCATCTTTTTCAACATTTGTTATAAAAACTGATTCAAGCGTCGGATATATTTTTGAATATAATGATAATGGGAACGGAATCAACATTTTTATCATCAACTTTAATTGCTTTGATATAATGTTGAACTTTTGGTAAAATTGTTTGATGATATTTTTCCAAGCTACGTTCATCAACATTAGATAAATCTATTGCACATAAAAATGGATAAATAAGATTATTAAAACGATCATTTAGATTGAAAAATGAATAAATAAGATCAATAGATTTTAAATAGAGAAAAATAAGGGCATACAATTCATTTGGTAGACTTGATTCTAATGTTGATATTTCCTAGAACAAGAATATCATCACATGCTAGATTAAAAATGTGCAAAATATCAGGAAAACGAAGTAGATTAACTTGATAAATAATTTGTAACTACTGCAAACAAATCTACTTCGAACCTATTCTTTGAGAGTTGTTAGATGCTCCTTATATTTGATAAAACAAGTTGATTTTTTAATCTTGTTTTTAGAAATAATAATTTCAGAAAAAAATGATGAAGCAATCGAATAGAATACAGAAGCCATTATCAAATACATTTTTACACCGGTACAATTATTGAATAATTTCGATGAGAGGACTGACTATGCTCGTTTGCGATAAGACAATTGAAAAAGACACATTTGACTCTTGATACCATTTTTAAGTTTTCAATTCCTTGACTTTTGTCATGCAGAAACGTATCTAGCTCTTTATTCATCTGTTTGTACCATTAAGGAAGTCATGGTCAACGATTAGCTCAAGTATTGTCTGTGACAAAAAGTATTACACTCAGTACCCTATTAGGCAGGAAGAGCCTTATCAGCAAATATTTTTTTCATTGTGCTTGATTAAAACACAATCTGTGAAAAAGTTTTTAAAAAATACTATTTTTCTTAAAAAAACGACATTTCAAGAAAAAATAAAACATTTGTTAATGAAACTCAAAATTCGCTAAAACTGCAGTATATCGAGTGATGGAAAAGAACACGCGAGGTCCGCCTTTCCTTCAAAAATATAAGTCTAGTGTATTGTCTCAAACGATTTTCTTAGTTTTAAGACCTACATGAATTCTAGATGAAGATAATACTTATCATAATTCATAATTTGTGTGTTGAACAATCTTATCCATACTACCCAAACTATGAATCATTGTGAACTAATTCATAACTATTAACATTAACATTAACACGGGCATTTAACACTCTTTAAAAAGGTTTAGATCAGTTCTAGACACATCACAGCACATTCCTACATACTTTTTTTATCATTAATTTAAGATCTAGCAAAAGTATGTGATAAATAATCGAATTTTCTGCAATCATTGAACTTCGACAAAGAAACGTTCATACGTACCATTAATGATGAAAGCAGAAGTCAGGAAAAGTCTCAAGTGAGTAACTTTTACAGCGAAAAAAGACGTCAATGCTATATTTTACACACACCGAGCAACTCAGCCGTTTTAGAATTTTTCTAATAATATTTTTCTAATAAAACTGTATATCGATAGAATAAAAATACAGGATAGAAAATAGGAAAACTACGGACGTTCGTTTTTTTTTGTTCTTTTCGCACTAGACAATAGAAGAAAATTCAAATCTTTATCACACATCTCTTTTCTACATTTCAAACTAATGAAACGTGGTCAACATTGAACGAACTTAGCACTACCGAATTGGACTAAGTGCAGTCATATTATATTTAAAATAATTGAAAAAATTTTAGTAGAGCTTTCGACACTATCTCTCTCTGAGCACAAATTTCAATAGCCATTCGCCTGAGGATGATACTGTGATAGTGTCAAAAGCTCGCATTTTGAATGTAAAATGATTTTACTAAAATTTTTTCAATTATTTTAGATATACTATATTTCACTAAAAACGTTAAAGAATCAAAAGATATCAATATAAGTGCAGTGAAAAAGAAAATGTATTCGAAATGATTTAATGCTAAACTATAATAAAATGTGTCTCGAAATGATTACGTAATTAGTGTAAGGAGAGGGCATAGCCGACATTTGATGAAAATTCTAAAGCGTGGTTTCCTTTAGGATTCAAATAATGTCAAGAACGTGTTGATCTACAGGCTATTTAATAGTGCAAAAGTTTTCGTTTCCAATGCTCAAGATTGGGAAAAACGTCATAAGCAAAAAAATAGTATCAAAAAATCTATGGTTAGAAGGAAAAAATAATTTCCGCTAAAACCTGTCAGACAGATTGTGAACTAAGTCTTTTAACTACAAAGTAGTGAAGAAACGTTCCGCTTTTGACTCTGCATGCTAGGAGAAAAAAGTTTTCTCAAGCGATGTTGTTTTTCCAGAGATGCAGTAAGATAGCGTAATTTAGTGCAGGTTTAGTCTGATTCAAAATCACGCCAAAATGGTTGCCTATATCATGTGTCTATGTTGTACGCACAATAATGTGCAACTTTTTCTAGACTGATTACACTGTTTCCAAAAGACCTTGGTTTTCAGGATAAAACTCCATTTTCTTTGCATGAAAAACTAATTTGATATTTAGTTCCACGCGAAAAACTGCATCGAATGTTCGATAATTTATTAATCCACAAAAAAAGGTTGGATACTCCCCATGGATTTCATATCGAAAGAAGACTTTTCTCAAATTTCGCTTTTATAAACTTTATTGACATCTCAGACATAATTAAACAATATTTAGCAAAAATGACTTTTTAAGTCAAAAAATTACATATCTACTTAGTCTACGAAAACGTGCTCACTGTAGAGAGTATGTAACATTCGAACAACGCCATTCATGCTCTTCTATTTTATTTCTGTCACATGGCACTTCATTCTTCTACACTTTCGTCAAAGTTATCATTTCTATATGTGGATTTAGACTTGATAAGAAAAAAGTGAATATTTGTGTATCTTACTAAATTGTACAGTTCGTCGTTCACATTTCTTTATAAACAGAAACACTTTAACATTCACTTCAGATAAATTATTTTCACTTTCTTCATTGCAAGAGAAGTTAAAATCCGATAGAATTTAAAATTCTTCTAGTAGTTAATTTCTCCCATGGACGAATTTTAAATTCCATTGGGTTTTAATTTCTCTTGCAGATATAAGATCATGGAAAAAGAAAATCCCTTAAAAGATTTAAATGATAATTGCAATAACATCCTGACAGGACAATTAATTGATGATCAATTAGTAAGTAATTCTACAGATGATTAGCTAGAATCTTCATGAACATGAACACGTTTTCTTTTAGCCGGAAATTAGTTAACGGGATGCAACTCAAATAACCTGTTATGTTGTATTTACAATGGAAAAAATCTCAATATTATTTTCGAATACTAATAAAACTTTTGCAGTTTCATCTATGTGTTTATTTGGTATAAATAATTTTAATAATAACAGCTCTTTTTTTTTCAATTATAAAAACTCAGAAGGAAATAAATTTCCTTCACGTTGAATCGACGTGTCCAAACGTACCAGCAAAAAGAACGTAAGTCCGCAACATTTTGTGAAATTCATAGCTCTTGAACTGAGGATTATACAGAGCGGGGAAACGTCCTATTTTGAAGCTTAAAGATTTTTCTTTCAATTGGTAATAAAGCACAGTCTAGTTCTAACCTAAACGCCTGTCTATAATTCGCATCAATAGGGCCCTTTTGTATGAAAGTAACGTATACCGAAAACATTATGTTACTTAAACTAGTCAGCTGCTAGACTTTGCTTAATTACCATTTGAAAGAAAGATCTTTACGCTTCAAAATAAGATGTTTCCCAACTCTGTACGTTGCTCGGCTGAAGAGCTATGGCTTTCACAAAACGTTGCGGACTTACGTAAAAGTTGACTTTTAGGTCGACAAGCCCGAATGTGAAAAAAAAATAATAATAATAATAGAGTTTCTCTTTGAATAAGTCATCCAAAATTATGGTTTGTAATTGCACAAAAAGAGTCTTGGCATTAAATACGATACATCCAGTTACATCTACAGGATCATTAGCCGTACCTCAACAAGAAACCCAACCGTTCGTCAGTTCATTAGCCGAATATACGATATTATTCACACGGTCAGAGTCAGTATCATTTTTCGCCGATTTCGAACAAAAACACGAAATAACGCCTTGAATACATACATTAGTATTATGTGATTAGCACCGCTAATATTTAGTTGATAAAATATCAATATTCAACTAACTATTTCAATCACGACAACTTTTTGATGACAAGTATCCAAAAAAATTCGTTACTCAGGACCTCATACTGGAATTATTCAATTGGTCAGATAATAAAAACTATTTTATTAAAAAGTGACGATTGCGTTTTTGCAGAAGAATAGCCCGCCAGTTTTGCTTACACTTGATTTATATCAAAATTTTTAGACTTACTAACGAGACAGTAACGAAGATATAGTAAAATGTCAATAGTATTTTTCTTTTTAACACTAGACGACCCCTCCACCCCCACTTCTCTCTACGAACTGGCAGATTCTGGTAGAATCAGAATTCGAGGTCTATCAGAATCTAAGCAGAATCTGACCCGAATCCAAGCTATTAAATCGGTCAAGTTCTGTCAGTTTTAGAAATTTCTATAGAATTCTGGAACTTGACATTGCTGCCTAGTCATAGTAAAATTTAAATATATAATTTTGCAGGCTACGAATGGATCAAAAGGGCCAAATTTTTTTAAGATATCATTCTAGTGAGAAAGAGAAAGAGTGTGAAAAAGAAAATCTTACTGTAAGAAAATTAAAGTTGTATTGTAGAGTTGTACGCCACTAAATATTTTAACAATGAGTAAAATATGAATAAATTATGTAATAATAAAACTGAAGCAATAAAAACATTGTTAACTCTGTTATAGAATAAACAAACAAACAAAAAAAAAAAATCAATTCTGTTGTACACGACTGCGCATATAACTTATCTTGATTCAAGATCTTGGTAAGAAAATATAATTCAAGAATTCAAGAAATTTCAAGAAGTCAAGATCTTGAACATCTTGAAATTTCTTCACTTCTTCTACCAAGATCTTGGAAATTCTTGAATCATCGTTTTGTTTTACACGCTTGTATAAATATAAGTGTGAATATTTTCACATTTAGAATAACTTCGACTTTTTCTTCCTTCTCAAACATAGTTGTTTAAGGAAGAATCTATGACTCTATATGTTCGTATGTCTGATGGCTATGACCGTCATACTTAAAAACAAAATTTTTCACTCAAGCTCTTGCAACATCTTGAGTCGATTCACTCCTCTTGAAATTTCTCTTCCTAAGAACTTGTGTGAGAATCCAAGACCTTGACTTCTTGGGGTTTTTTCCACGATCTTGTGACATCTCTTAACCCAAGATATTGGCCAAGGTCTTCGGCACAAGAATTTTCACTGGGCAGGGTGTTCCAAAAGTCCGCATGAAAAAAAAACGTGAATATCTTCGTCATTTCTTAACTAATCTCCAAGGTTATTTTCTTTTTGGATAGAAGAACGTTCCAAGTTTTATTCAAAATTACGTTTGTACGAAGTTACAAGAACATCATTCGGGAAAAATAAAAACCAAATAAATAAAAATTTAAACTGCTATAATTATATCTAAAGTTGACATTCGAAAGAGTTATGAATAATCGTCCTCCCGATCGAAAGAGATCGCTGAAGAGGGAGCACTCTGATTTATTACATATTACTCGTCCACAAAACAAAAGAACTTAGTACCTAAAAAGAGCGAATTTAAAAATGGCATCTATTGTGGTAAAAGGCAAGCCAAATGTAACAAAAGTACAACTAAACAATACTTTAAAAACACGAATGAAAGATGCCAAAATTGAAAATATAATCAAAAATAAACAAAATTTAATCATAATATAGCCCTCACACATTGTAACATTCAATAATTTATTGAAATATTTTCCTAAAAATGCATTTGCTGAAAAAGATTCGATAAAAGTGTATGTACCAAATTATATTAAAAATATATTAGATACTGAAAAAATAGCATTCATTAAATATGTGGATCTTGATTTCTCAATCCAAGATATTCAAGAGGCACTGACCTCTCACAGATTTCAATTTGAAAATGTTGAAAGAATTCATTTGAAGAAAGAGAATAAACCAACAAAAACAATTAAAATGGTATTCGTTGATAAATTAAATCGTGATACCTGTCTGAAAACTGGACTAAAAATTGATTATTTACATTTTTCTGCTGAGACAGCTCAACCAAACAAAGAACCTCTTCAATCCTTCAAATGTTTTAAATATGGACATCCATCGAAATATTGTCAGAGCAGGAGGAGACATGCAAAAAATGTGGTGGACTACATCTTGAAAAAGACTGTACTAGTTCAAAGCTGAAGTGTGTCAACTGTGATCAACAGCATGCATCAAATTCTAAACAATGTCCTGATTATCTAAAAAATAAAGAAAAAATTCAAAAAACAATAGATGAATATTCATCTATCACAGAATTAAATCGAACACATGACATGTGTGGTGATGATTTTCCTCAGTTGACTTCTACTCGATGGTCAAATAACTGTTCTTCTGTGGACCATCACCATGCAGAGAAGATGGAAGAAATGTTTGAGAGGTTATCCTCGACGATTGTTCATGCATTATCATCAGCAATGCAACAGATAACATCTGCAATAATGTCTCTCCACCGAGGACTGCTGAAATGGAATATTAATTATAACATTAAGGAAGTCAACAGCGTTCTCATTCATTAATGTTGGCTCAATTTTCAAAATACTCTCATTTGACTTCATTTAATGCGATTTCATCATATCAACGTGAATTCTATCCAAAAATATAAATTTGAATTACTATCTACATTTAACGATGTTGATTGCTACTCGATTAATGAAACAAAATTAAGTAAAATATAAAATCATTCTCGCTAATGGACTACAACATATTTAGACAGGATCGTGATCACAGAGGTGGTGGAGTTCTCATCGCTGTTCGAACAAATATCAAACAAATCTCATTTACAGCGGTCATATCGAGAACAATGAATTAGTTATTGTGGAGATGAAACTCAAAAATGACAAAAAGCTTGTGATTGCTTCTGTATATGTACCGCCGTTTAATTAAATTATCTATTAAAGCATTACTCAAAATTAAAAATTTAAACGACAATTATGTGATAATGGGAGATCTGAATACACCACATGTACAATTAGGCTGCTCAAAGACAAATAGAAATGGACATGTTCTGTACAAATGGCTACAAGATCATTCAACACAGGTGATCGGATCAAATGAAGCAACATATATACAAGAAGGATATGTTGAGAAATTAGACTGGGTACTGGCTGATGTTGAACCTTCACTATTATACTCTCATTTTCAAACACATCCTCTACTAGGTACAATAAAATCAGGACATAAGCCAATCACCTACACCGTAGATTGTTCTCCTGATAGTCGACCAACAGAATGTGCACGACAACAACACATTTTCCCTCAGGCGAACTGGTCTCTGTATTATATTGAATTAAATAAACTCTTGAGTCGACGAGAGCCAAAAGAGGTTAGGACAACAGAGAATCTAATTGATTACAGTCACTTTATCACAGACTGTATCACAAAAGCGTGTCAATTATCTATACCAGAGGTAAAATCATTCAAACGGCTCAGCCAAATAAAATCAAGTTGACAGACACTCGACCTTTTAAAAAAGAAACACCAAATTTATAGGCAATCTAGAAACATCCGAATAACGAATTGATTAAAAAAGAGTATTATAAACACAGATTACTTGTTCAAAATTCATTATCAAATGATAGACGAAATCATTTTAAACAGCTGCTGAACACACTATCAACAACCAAAATTAAAGGAAACAAGCTCTGGTCTTTAGTAAACAGATTTCAAGGTAAACGAGCAAACAGAGAATTGAAGTATCAGTTTAAATACAAAAATACAACTACTACATTTGATAAAGAAAAAGTTGACATGTTTAAATCATATTTTGAAACTCTTTATGATAAACGACCCAACAATCATATAGAACAATTTGATATTGAAAGTGCTGTCAGAAATGAAACAAAACGGCTTAGCGAAATTGAATCATTCCCACACCCAGCAATCACCAATGAAGAATTAAAAACAGCTATATCAAGATTTGGGAATACTGCTGTTGGACATGATGGGATTCATAATAAATGCTTGAAAAAGTTTACTAAGCTTTTACTACAGCACGTTGTAGCCCTCTTTAATAGCAGTTTCAAACTCGGATATGTCCCAACTCAATGGAAACTCGGCCATATCATTTTAATACAGAAACCTGATAAAAATCCAAATGATCCCGAATCCTACAGACCTATTAGTCTCCTCAGTTGTCTTGGTAAATTAACGGAACGTATTGTCAAACAAAGATTAAGCGATTTTGCCGAACAACATAAATTATTACCTGATTACCAATCAGGATTTAGGAAAAGTAAGTGTACAATTGATAATCTCCTACAATTGAAACATGATGTTGACATTAGTTCATTAAAAAACAGACAAACTGCTCTTATTGTATTCACATTAAACAGGAGTTCGATTCGGTGTGGTTATCCGGATTATTATTCAAACTATAACATATAAAAAATCCCTGAATATCTATGGATGTGGGTTTGTCATTTCCTAACCGACCGGGAGAGTGTCTTAGAGTATAAATACATAGTATCCGAAAGATTTACACTGAGACGAGGGGCGCCTCAAGGCTCGCCTCTCTCTCCACTCCTCTACATACTCTTTACTAGTGACTCGTTGTCTCAAATACCCAACCATACAAACAGCAATTTATTTGCAGATGACACAGCATTGTGGAGTAGTGCAAATACAATAAAAAGTTTAGCCATTAGGCTACAAGAATCAGTTGATCAATTTGTACGCTGGTGTCAACTATGGAACTTAGAAATACAAGAAAACAAAACAAAACTGATACATTTCACAAAACATCCAAGGAAAAAATATAAAACACGATTAATTGCCACCATCAATGGCCAGCAAATAACTCACACAAATGAAGTTAAATACCTGGGGGTTACATTTGATCGTTGTCTTAAATTTAGTAAACATATACAAGAGATAAAGAGAAAAACGTCGACGCGACTCGGACTTATACGATATCTAGCAAAAAATGCAGGTGAAAATTCAGAAAGATCACTGCTACTGGTCTACAAGAGTTTGGTACACTCACTGTTAACATATGCTGCACCAATCTTCATCAATACAGCTGATTATAAATATTGGAATAAAATACAAATGATTGAGAACAAAGGTTTAAGATATGTACCGAAAGTGCCCTTCTACACTTCTGGATCATATGTACGCCAACACATCGATCAGGATCTAATTAAAGAATACTGTAAGAAACAAACAACAAATTATCTAAACAGAGCTATTCAACAAGGAAACAAAAGAGTAATGCAAATTTTTTGCAGAGACACTTCTCCTCAAAAATCATTATGACCTACCGTTGTCATGTTGTTGTCCCTAAAACTGTAAGAAGGAAAACTAAAAGAAAAAAACAAAAACAAAAACAAAAAAGGAGAATATAAAACCTAAGTGCAATAAGAAATTTATTTTTTAAACTCTCTTTTTTCCGGCAAAAGACCACTTGTCATCTGCCTTTTTCTGTACCGTTTATTATTTATAATAAACCTACCTCCTCCAAGTTTTATTTCATATGATTGAAAGTTTTTATATAAAAACAGTTACTGCGGAAAAATAATAAAATCTGCGACACATGTTTTCTGTATCCGTACTTGTTATAGTGAGTAAAGATTATTAAGCTTATTATATTTGAACGGAATCTTTGCCAGAGTCGTACTACGTCTCATTTTGTAGAACTCGAGCTGCTCCACAATTCTACATATTCAAATGTTTTGTTCAACTTAAAATTTTGCCAAAAGAAGTTAATTTCTCCACATTGACACGACCTGCAGATTTCGGCTTCTACGATAGGCTGATCCAACTTCTTTGAGACCTTCAAACTATTTCACTTTGTAAGAAAAGTGAAATTCCAAGCAGCTTTTCCTTTTCTTAGTTAATTTTATTTGAAAACAAAATTTATTAGCTTTTGTACTTTACTGAACAGCCATGTCTAAAGAAATCCACACCATCCCATGTAGAAATTGCAAATTTTTTTTTGCGTGGTTAGGCAAAAAAAGTGCAAAAACATCAGTGGTGTAACGCAAAAAATGGTTACAAATGTGAAATTCTGCAAAATTTTGCATATTCTTCTAGAACAAAATATTTACAAAATTCTGTATTAGTCGAATTAATCGGCTTGTCCAAACGTAACGCTGTTTCGTTTTTGACACACTTTTTCTCAATTTTCTCGGAAAGTTTGAGAGCTAGAAAGTTCGTTCAAACCCTATAGTACATATAACAATATACATTTTGTATTTAGTTACATTTAGCCTTTGATACAATGATATGATGAATATTGACTGCATCAGCAAGTTTAAGTTCCAAACTAATCAAAAGTCTTTTGTTCGATTTTTTCTTTTTTTTTAAACTTTAAGTCTCATCTCTCCAGTTCAATGGCCACTGAAATCGGGTTACCCCATTGCACCTGTGTCCAAAGGTACCGAGACAATTAGTATTAGATAGCTTGCCCAGGACAATCACACGATCGCCGGCGTCAAGATTCGAACCGCGTATCTTTGAAGTACGTTGTCTGTCGACTAGCCGACTGAGCTACGTTGCTGTTCGATTTTAGAGTAATAATTTTTTGTGTATTGAAAAAAGTTTCGTGTGAAATCATTTATTGCCGTTTTTGCTGTCATTTCTTCAAGTTTTGCATTGATTTTACTAACTGTATGAACTCTATTTTTTAAACTTAATTACGACCAATTTTAAGAGAAAATTCGACAAGAATCTATGTGGAGTAGCACATATTCTTGTTATTATGTGCTTAGATAAATGTAACATCAACGTATGATCAAATATTTCAAAGTAAATATGATTTCAATGCAAAAGTCCATCGTGATAATCGCCAACATTCGAAATTTATTGGTTTACCCCGTATGATTCAATAGCCCGTGAAAGTTTAAACGGTTCAATTTTTGTAGCAGAAATTTTATTGTATAAAAATTAGTCGAACAGACTAACTTTAATATGTCAGTAATTTGTCTCAACAGACAGTTATTAGAACTCTGTAAACTGTATAGTTAATTAATCTAAACTAACTTTATACAAATATGTCTGACAGAAACTGTCGTCGCAAATGAATAGTATAATTCACATAAATAATCCGGAAATAAGCATGGAAAAACACATCTGTACTTCGTGTGTTTACGGTTTGTTTGGACTGCAATGTATCGTAGGAAGGAAAGTACGACATTATAAATACTCACAACATTCGTCAGCTAAGCATCAAAATAAAACATATCGTTTTCACACACATAATGGCACAAATACAAAGTACTGACATGTTAAGATGCGAAAGATATCGGAAATTCTATGAAGACTAATCCACTACTGCCTGCTTAAGTTATGCCCCATATTCCTTTTTGGAAAAGTGAAGGAAAACGTTCAGCTAAGCACAGTAAAAGCTTCCAAGTCATTATTCGCAATCAAATATAGTTGTCACTCTCAAAAAACGACAGGTATAAATCTGTTCCATTTCTATTGTTTTGGATATAACTTCAGTTTTCCTTGTAAAATAAGAGCAAAAAAACATCGCCGTACATTCGGACATGAATGTGTTATACTTTGTAGAGAAAATTCTCTCAACAACCTACAGACTGCTACAATAGTTTTCTCTTGAAAAATATAAATTGTGGTGTAAATAAAAATAGCAGAACAATTTCATGTTAATAACATCACTTCGTGATAAGAGATAAGATTTTATTTTTTACTAAAGTGCAGGATATCCCAAAAAAGAACAAAAGACTTGTGGCATCCGTGGATACCCTCTGATAACCGAAAACTAAAAATTTAAAAATAAACATTATTCAAAGCCTGTGTAACCTCTCAGCATATTTTTAAATGTGGCTAAAGAAGTTTGACAGGCTTGGAATTGTTAAAGGAGACATTCTGTCTCTCTCTCTCTAGTCTGAATATAGGCATATGCCGGTTTTCGGAAAGATTCACGCTCGAGTTCATCACTGATTCATGTGAACATATATAATAGTGACTAAGCCAAATATCTTTGCAGTCGTTTTGCCGTGCTCGAGATATACTGCAATGGAGAGAAAAATGAAAAACTTTGACTAAAGACTTCTGGTGCTTGAAGGATCCAAAGTTGGCTGTTTGCAAAAAAGAGTCTGCAAAGATGGACGTCATGTTCGAAGGGAAAGATAGATATCGACCTAATTCTTTTTCCATTAGGCTAATCAGTTCGGTAACTTTTATTTTTATCTATAGTAAAACAAGTTCTTGTTTGGGTTTTCTTTTAGCAAAGGTGAAATACTGGGCGCCATTTTCCATTTTCGACCATTTTCTGACAGCTGCTCTGCCCCTATCGAAGTAGAAGGATACGTCTCGACTATCAACACTTGCAGTACTCGAGCTGTTCTTTCATATGGTATATTGAACATTCGTGTATGTAAAAGAGGCTAAAACTTGATGCCCCGAAAAAGATGTTTAGCGAACAAATGTGGAATTCTATGTAGTTTTCTATACTCTACATGACAGAAATATTGAGATTTTGGCCGTCCTTACATTATGTAATAGAGAGCGATGCAGTGTGGAAATACTCATGTTCGATAATGCATTCTTCTTTAGAAGTCCTTGTGACTATGATCTGGCTTTGAAACATACGTAGTATGTTGACAGATAAATGGTCCAGTAGTGCACGAACCATTATTTAATCTTGAAGATACAATTTGCTCATTTTGTTCTGCTTTGGTCTGACAATTTAATATTTATTTATTTTATAGCATTTACAGATATGAGATGCTTCTGAAAAAGTGTTCTGACATCAAAATAAATTTGGTGTTAGATCAATATGACAGCACTTCAATGAAAATTATTAGTTTTTTCCTTCTTTCGGTAGTTGATCCAAGTAAACTTTCAAATTCTAATGATCCATACTTTTTAGTCTAATAATGTACAAATGACGAGATATATCTTCTTGAGCGAAATTTTTCTGACTTAAGTAACGCAATTTGTTCATATTCTTATATTAATTTGACAGAACAATGAGAAATCGGCACAATAAATTATAGTTACCTGTTAATAACAGGAGTATATGTCTTTCCAGCTATCAAAAAACATTATTGTAGAAGAAAAATATGATCTTAAAAATTTATTGTCACCATCAAAAATCAATTGAGGCTTTATAATAACTGCTTTTAAAAATAAATAAAATGTAAAATCAGAATAGAAATGAACAATCATCTAAAAGTTTCCTAATAAGAAACATTTGGCTACCATCAACGTCTACAATATCGTACATATAGCCGATGCTAAGTTAACGTTTCTCAACCATGATAGCTGAAGCGAGTAGTTCTTTTAGTGGCCGAGTGGGTATGGTATTTTAACCCAATTATATTGCAACTCTCCTCAACATCAACAAATGCAAACGCACCTTGATGAACAACGAAATTTCATTTCTTTTAAAAAGTTCACATTAAATAGAATTCACACATACTGGCACTACCATTCATCATTAAATTAATGAAATAAAACAACAATAGAAAAACCATATACTCATTTCAAACACGAACCTGATATATATATTTAAACACAGACAAAAAACATGGCACGGTAACGAGACTAAATACGATAAATATCGTAAAACGACATCAAAACATATTGTCAACAAACAGTAGGATAGTTTTATAAAACAAATACATATGCCGTAACAATGTAACAACGCTACCGACGGATAACACTACTTTTGTCAAATAATTTGCATCTTTGCGATATTGTTCAAATAAACTGCCTAAATGCGTCCCTTTTATATCCAATGTTAAAAAGAAAACAAATGTGATACATTGAGAAAAACATTGTTTTATCCACGGTTAAGATAACTTCTGTTCACACAACCTACTGTGTAATGTTTCTCCTCTACTCGAAACATCTTATATATTTGTTGATCAATTAAGCAACTACGAATGAAAGAATCAATATTTATAGAAAGTACAGTAAGATGTTAACATAATTCACAAACTGAAATATATATGGATCAGTTTCAATACTAGCTTTTCAGGGTGACTTTTCAGTTAATCGTTGAACACTTGCATACCTTCCTTTGTATTTAAACTCAATATTACACTAAACAAGTGATGATATAAGTATCATTAAATATAACTTATCCAGCTAATAGATATAGATAGAAAGATAATAAAACTTATCATTAAAACTGTTTGTGATTTGACAGTTCATTTAATATATCCGAGAAAATTATGTCAGTTTTTAATTTTTCCTGAAGTATGACTTTTTCCGCGTACATATAAAACTTCTTAAAAGATAACCTAAATATGAAAGTTTGTTGTCAACTAATGAAAGTTGAATACGTTAACTCTCACTTCTTAGCTAAATGTTCGCAATATACACTGTATGACGTTTCTTAGTAAATATGAAATAGGAAAGACAGTCATAACGCAGGTGAAATTATCGTTTGTTTTTCCACTAATAATTCATCATCAACTACAGTGTCTTCAACATCTGTTTTACACGAGCCATTACTTGAAATATATTCTTATCTTTATCTTCATTTATTTTAATTATACATTTTACAAAACATATATACATATGTCAAACATTAAATAGTGAAACTAATTGCAAGTAAATTGTAAAAACCAATGTAACAATATTGTCAACAAATATCCGCTTTTGTTAAGGATCACATTTGATCTAACGGCCAAGGAATGCCGTTGCTATGACCTTAGACGCTAAAACTACTTATTCGATAATTTGCATCTTTGCAAAAGTATTGAAATAAATGGCTAAACTCGTCGCTCCTGTGTACAAACTAAAAAGGAAAACAAATGTGATATATCGAGAAGAATATTGTTTAAGGAGTATAAACCTTTTCTCATTCTTGATCTTCCGGTGGTAATTCACATACACATATGTTCCATGGCGAATCAGCATCACAGAAAAAATCCACAACTTCTTCTGCTGTTTTATCCCCAGCGAGTCTGAAGAAAAAATAAAAGAAACACGATGCAATCAATATGAACATCTTTGAAACTAAGACATTTACGTTATACAAATTCCCATTTTTTCGTCCTCATACCGCATCTCCACTATGTCTAATAGTTCAACATTTCGTATTCGGGATATCACCGACTTTACACTGTTCACTATATAACCAAACAAAAAAGGGATTTAAATTAAACCGTGTTTAACTCTTAATTTTTTCAATTCTTCATACCTTTTGTTGCATCGACAGATGAGAGCAAAACAAACACGGCGCTCTTGGCCAGACATGTCTTTAAAACAAAGAAAAGTAATCTATTACAATGGTTGTTAGACGGAAGAAAATGCACCGAAGAAGATAGGAAAAGAATAATATATTAAGAAGGAACGGCGAAGCAAAGAAGGCGGATGACCAAATGAACAGGTGGACTAAACGGCACAAAAACATGCTTCCTTTCATCATTTTTGTCTCTGTAGTAATAGACATCTAATAAAGATGGGAAATGTAAGAAAATGTATTACATTTTCGTACATTTTATATTTCTTCTCAATTGACCCAGAACAGAAAGAGAACGTAAAAAAAGACGTCTCTATATATTTTAGTCAGTCAAGATTCCGTTACTTTTTCTCTTCCTTTTGCTAACCCATGTGCTGAAAATCGCTTCATTTTTGTCGATTAATCGCGATGGTTGAAAAAATCGACGCTTAATCGCGATGGTTGAAAAAATCGACGCTTAATCGCGATTCGGGAAAAAATCGTCATTTAATCGCGATTAAGCGATAATTTTTTCGTGCATCGCGATTAATCGATGATTTTGTCAACCATCGCGATTATCATGAAAATCGTCAATTAATTGCGATTAATTGTTGATTTTAAGTGATTAAATGGTCGTTGTTATTCACCGTTTTCTTTTGCAATAAAGTATGTATATAAGAAACACGATTT